CGGGCGCCGGGCCCAGGGGGAGGGGCCCGGCCGCTTCTCCCGCGTCCGCCATTTTGTTGCTGTGGCTGTTGGGAGCGGGCTGGGTGGCTCGGCCCGGGAGGCGCGACTCTTGCTGGGGAAGGCGGCTTCGTGGGACGGCCGGGGCGGGCTCGCGAGGCTGCGGAGCCGGCGGGGTCCAGGACCGGAGTCACCGGAGCCACCCCTGGGCGCGGGGCCGCTGGGAAGCCCGAGGCGGCCTCCGGCACCGCTCGGCTTCGCCCACCTCGACCCCCGGGCTTGGCCCCGTGTTCCCGGCCCGGTGCAGGCGGGCGGTGGCGGAGGATGCTGCGGGGCCCGGAGCCGGGAGGAAGGTCCTGACCCGGCCCTCTGACTGCGCCCCGAGGTGTTCCGAGAGGCCCTTCCTCGGCCCCAAAGCCGACAGCGGGTGAAGGCTTGGCGAGCAGGCGAGAGCAGCAGACGCCGCCCATCCCCGGACCCAGCACCATGTCGTCCGCCAGGTTTGATTCTGCAGACCGCTCTGCCTGGTACATGGGGCCAGTGTCTCGCCAGGAGGCGCAGACCCGTCTCCAGGGCCAGCGCCATGGCATGTTCCTAGTCCGGGACTCCTCTACCTGCCCCGGGGACTATGTACTGTCCGTGTCCGAGAACTCGCGTGTCTCGCACTACATCATCAACTCCCTGCCCAACCGCCGCTTTAAGATCGGGGACCAGGAGTTTGATCATTTGCCGGCCTTGCTGGAGTTCTACAAGATCCACTACCTGGATACTACCACCTTAATCGAACCAGCGCCCAGGTACGCGAGCTCCTGCCCTTCTCAGGCTCGGAACCTGACCCGACGCGGAGGGTCGGTCAGAGATTGAATTCTGAGGGTGGGGGAAATGGAGCTGTTTTCCCTCATTCTAAACCAGAAGACATTCGGGTTGGGAGGCCAGTGTCAGGATCTGGGTCACTGGATGAAAGGATGTATTTTATTTAGACACTTAGCGGTGATTGTATAGTTCAGATGCACCCACCGACACACATACACAGTTTTGTCACTCCAGCTGACTATAATACTAATGACTATAATAATAATATAATTAACGACATTAAAAAATATATAGACTTCCTTGAGATGCTGAAGATAGCCATGGCTCTCTCCCTCGAAAATGCACGTGAAGTTTGTACACCATTTAAGTTTTTTGGAGCCTCAACAGCTAACTGCAGGTTAAGAACTGGTCTGCCGCCTTTGGAAAAAAATCGTTAAAACGAGTCGAAAACGTAGAAATTTCAGAATCCAATGCCGAATTTGAAGTAACCCTCCTCCCCTTTTTTTAAAACTAGAATTACAGAGGAAAGAGAGTGAGATTATATTTGAGGAAATTTGGATTATCAGTCTCCCTCTCCCAGGGTGGGAAGTAGATTTAGCTAAATTCTACTTTAATTCAGTTTTAGATTTTTTTTTTTTTTTTTTTTTTTTTTTTTTTTAGTAATTTAGTGGTTTAGCATATACTTTAAAGAAACCGAAGTGGAGCTGGATGAGAGAGCTGCACACCCCCCTAGGGAAGAGAGGACCTTGAATTCCAAGCCAAACTGGGCTATAGCAAGACCCTGTCTTAAAGGAAAGGAAAAGAAAGATGCTGATCACCAAGTGTTTCAAGTACCACGCATTATTTTATAATTTGCTTTAATTTCCTCTAGTGAATATCATATCAAGTTATAGCAAGTGATACAAATGTGAGTTGAAAAAGTAGAGCTTTAAGATGTATTTCACTGCCTGGTTTATTTCTAGGCTGTTTTCTAAAAAGGATTGAGTACTGATTGAGACCTTTGAGGGTGAGGTGACTTCATGGAATTGCTAATGAGGTAATTTGCTCAGAACTTGAAGATGAAAAGGTACTATGCTTAATTTAGGACACCTACTAAAAGTCAAAGAATTTCTTTTTTAGGATAGAAGAAATAAAGCTGTGATGGTACAAAAAGTGTACGGTTAGCTGCCCAAGTCAGTGGAGTTTAAACAATGTAGAGAAGGGGCTAGGCTTGACAGCTTAGTGAGGGAAAGTGTTTGCGAGGAAAGCCTGATGACCCGAGTGGTCCCTAAACCCGTACAAATGTGGAAGGGGAAGCAGCTCTACAGCGTTGTCCTCTATCCTCAGTACTGCACCAACTCTGGGAAACATGAAGGTTCTAGTAGATGCTGGCAGGTGCTATCACCTTTACTAATTTCAGTGTAGGAGCTTGTATAAACTTAGGAAGTATAATGTTTGGTAATATATTTAAGTAAATTACTTATCTAATTTGTGAAAGTGGATTATATTATTGACTTCAGGCCTTTATTAAAATATGCTTGCAACAATGTAACAGGTGTTGGAGAAAACCTAAGTTAATTATTAGATTTCCCTGAGGAGGAAAAATGTGTATTACAGTGGCTTCCTCTTGTTTACAAAATGTAATTCGACTTCATATGTCTTCTCAGGTACCACTTTTCTGTATTACCAATGTAATTTTCTGAAATTTTCCTTAGCTCTACTTGACACACATTCGCATCTTTTCTGTTACACTAAATTTCCAAATGAAAACCCTAACCAAGTCATAATTATTTCTAACATAACTGTTCTTCTTATAACTGCAAAGGCATGATAAATTTTAGAATAGATGGCAATGTCCCTTGAGAGGTACTCTTTTAATAACTCAAAACTTAAATATAACTACTGATATTTTCTTGACTTGATAAATTGAGGGGAAAACCACAAGTATCTGTACAAACACATACTTAACAAAATATGACAGAAATATTCTTGTAAGTTTTAATTTGTCTCTGCAAATGGTCACGTGGCCTTAGCTGGTATTTCTAACTACCTTCCTCCACTACCCATTCTGCACTTCCTCCATCCTCAGCAGGTCTTGACTTTTCCTGGAGGAAACCACACCTTCCTTCCTGAAGGGTCTGTGCCCTTTGTCATCCTTCCTGGATCAGGCTGTTGTCGTTTCCCATTGACTTTAATCACAGGACTTGGTGGCACCAAGAGACCCTAAAGGATCTCCTGCACTGCAGACATCATCTGTCCTCCTCCACTGGGAGAAGCAATCCAATTTCCCCTTGGTAATCTGGATCAGTCACCCCTCTTAATATTGGTGTGTCTTTCCTAGTCTGTTGGCTTAAGGGCATCAGAAGCCCACAGTGGCCGGGGGAAGTCAGCTTCCAACCCAGTGGAATGTTTGCTGTGTCTCCTGACAGGAGAGCTTCTCCATCTAGAACCTAAACTTCTAGGCCAGCAGAACTTAAGGTTGCAGGAACAGGAAGCAAAAAAGGTTCCTAGTGGGTTCCTAAGGGTAATAGTGAGTGGAACCATTTCCTCTTCCACCCCTTGATTCCTGGACCTGTGGATCTTGGCTAGGGGAGAAACTGTACCATATATTGGATGCTGATTCAAAGCATATAGTGCCTTAAGGAGAGCCTGCCCCAACTCTCCAGGGTGCTGCCACTTAATTGGTGCTGTAGTTACGTCTTTAAAAGGTCCTTCCAGCTTTCTGTCAGGCCAGAGGCTTCAGGATAGTGAAGACAGTGGTGAGACCAGTGGATTCCTTGATCGTGGGCCCACTGTTGCATGTCTCTGGCGTGAAGTGAGTTCTTTGGTCAGAAGCAATACTGTGTGGAATACCATGTTGGTGGATCAGGCATTCTGTCAGTCCACAGATGGTGGTTTTGGCTGAAGCATTAAGTGTGGGAAAGGGAAATCCATAATCAGAATAAGTATCTCCTGAAGCTTATTACAATGCTTTGTCCTTTCCACAGAGGAAGTGGCCAGTGTAGTCAACCCGCCACCAGGTTGCTTAGCTGGTCACTCCAGGGAATGGTGCCGTATCTAGGGCTCAGTGTTGGTCTCTGCTGTTGGCAGATCTGGCACTGTAGCCAGGTCAACCTTGGTGAGTGGATATCCATGTTGTTGGGCCCATGCATAACCACCACCTCTACCACTATGACCACTTTGTGGGCCAGTGACAGGAAGGCTGGGGGAAAAGACTGTCTACAGAACGGGTCATCTTACCTACTTGATTATTGAACTCCTCCACTGTAGAAGTCACCTTCTGATGAGCATTTACCTGGGAAACAAATATCTTCACATCCTTTGCCCATTTGGAGAGATCTGTCCACATCTTCCCCAGATGTCTTTCTCACCAATTTCCCGATCACTCTTTCCAAGCCCCTGATCATCCAGCCAGTCTGTTGGCTAAAACCCATGAATCAGTGAACAGTCACACATCTGGCCATTTCTTCTTCCAAACAAAATGTATGACCATGTGTACTGCCTGAATTGCCATGAGTTGTGCCCATAGTGAAGATTTGTGTCTTTCAGGGTTTTCTCAGAAAGGGGCTGTAATGCTGCAGCTGTCAACTTCTGGGTAGTGCCTGCAGGATGTACAGAACCGTCAGTAAACCATGCCCTAGTCTTCTCTTCCTCAGTCAACTAATCATAGGGCACACCCCATGAGGCTGCAGGTGCATGCTTGGAAGCAGATGGCATTATAATGGGAGTAGTAAACCATAGACATTTGGGCAACTTTGTCACTTAACTTGCTTGTGTCTTCAGAACCTGCCTGGGACTGATCATGTATATACCAATTCCATTTTTATAGCTTGATGGGTCAGATAATACCCAGGTCATGATGGGCAGCTCAGGTCACGTGGTAACCTGGTGGCCCATTATAAAACTTTCAGTTTCCACTTAGGCACAATAGCAGGCGAAGAACTATCTTTCAGAGGGAGAATAATTGTCTGCGGATGATGATAGAGCCTTGCTCAAAATCTCAAAGGTTTCTCTGTGATTCACCTATAGGGACCTGCCGAAGGCTCCAACCAGCATTCCTATCTGTCACTGACACCCCAAGTACCATCGGGTCTGCTGGATCATTTGGTCCAAGTGGTAGAGCAGCCTGTGCAGCAGCCTGGACCTGCTGAAGTGCCTCCTCCTGTTCCACATCCCACACAAAGCTAGCAGCTTTCTGAGTCACTTAGTATATGGGCCGGTATAACACACCCAAGTGGGGAATGTGCTGTCTCCAGAATTCTAATGGGCCCACTAAACATTGTGTTTATTTCTTGGTGGTGGGAGGGGCCAGATGCAATACCTTGTCCTTCACCTTAGAAGAAATATCTCTGCATGCCCCACACCACTGAACTCCTAAGAATTTCACTCAGGTAGTAAGTAGGCCCTTGAAATTTGGTTGGATTTTCTTATCTGATGTGCATGTGTTAACAAGAAGTCTAAACTTCTTGCTCACATGGTCCAGTCCGCATAGTGTCATCAATATAGTGAACCGATGTGATATTTTGTTGAAGAGATCCCTTCAAATGAAATGATGACACAAGGCTGCAAAGTTAATATATCCTAATAAAGTAAAACTGTAAATGTATACTGCTGGCCTTGCCAACTGAAAGCAAATTGCTTCTTGTGGTCCTTATAGACAGGTACCAAGAAAAAGGCATTTGCTAGATCAGTAGCTGCATGTCATGTACTAGGAGATGTGTTAAATTGCTTTAGTAAGGACACCACATCTGGTACCGCAGTTGCAATTGGAGTCACAACTTGAGTTTTTCATAGTCAATTGTCATTCTCCACAATCCATCCGTCTTCTATACTGGCCAGATAGGAGAGTTACAGGGAGATGTGGTAGCAACCACAATGCCTGCCTGCATCTTCAAGTCCTTGACAGTGGCACTGATTTCTGCAATTCCTCCAGGGATGTGATACTGTTTTTTTTTTGTTTGTTTTGTTTTCGAGACAGGGTTTCTCTATGTAGCTTTGGAACCTT